TATGTTGTAGATTTTAAAGATTCGAGTCATCATTAATCCATAAATGTCTCCATTCCTCAGGCCTTCGTGAATTGAATCGAATAGGGAGAATGACCAAAACGCGGACCCAGTCCGGATTGGTGGGTTTTAACGACTTCATATGCAGCCGGGAATAATACTTAACCTAAAGCACGGAAGAGGTCGAGATCAAAAATTTTCGGTCACCCATCCTGTGACAGCCATTGCGAAAGTTGTTTAACAACCATAAATCATATTCATTTACGCGTTCAAGTAAATGAACTGTACCTACATTCGCCATTTTTAAATCCTATTTTGTCAAACCGTACCGAGTACTATGCATACATAGTACGGTCGGCAGCTAATTGCTTACAAAAGACAAGCAAGGCCAAACGTACAAAGGAAGTTTGCGCAACAGCAACGATGTACAGTACACTAGATGTACCAATAAGAGTCCCAGCAGATCAGTGTTACGAGGGTCAAACTGAAAGTTCTTAGAACTGGCCACTTATAAACAATATAATAAAAAAATAATTCTAAAATTTGAAAATATAACTCTTTGCCAATATTACTGAGTATATATTTCATTCATTTGTCATTTGTTTTACGATTTGGCGGCAAATTGAAAATTGTCTGTGTCACGTCATCATGAATTTAACACGAGAAAATTTCCGTGCAATGATTTTTTATGACTTTCGATGTCATTTAAGTCAACAAGAAAGTTATGATAGACTACGATTGGCCTTTCACGATGAAGCCCCATCTCGTGCGACTGTTTACAACTGGTTTAATGAGTTTAAACGTGGTCGCACTAATCTCACTGATGATTTACGTGAGGGACGGCCTTCTACGGCGACGACTGAAGATAACATCTGTGTTGTGCGGCGTATGATAGAGACTGACAAAAGAGTGACCTATCAACAGATTCGGACAAGCTTAGGCATCGGTATGAGTCAAGTGCACAAAATCCTCCACGAACATTTAGCGGTCAGGAAGCTTTGCGCCCGGTGGATACCTCATAATTTGACTGAGGCTCAAAAACTCCATCGTGTGGATTGGTGTCGTAAAATGATTGAAAGATTTAACGGAGGTGACTCAAATGCTGTGTTCGACATACTAACAGGTGACGAAAGCTGGATTTACTGTTATGATCCTAAAACCAAAAGACAATCTGCTCAGTGGGTGTTTCCTTTCGAGGAGTTGCCAACTAAAGTGAAGAGAGATCGAAGTGCGGGAAAAAAAATGGTGGCCTCGTTCTTTGGAAGGATAGGTCATTTTGCAACAATTGTGTTAGAGGATCAAAAAACAGTTTCTGCAGAATGGTACACTACCAATTGTTTGCCACTTGTCTTGGAAAAAGTTCGAGAGAAACGACCTCGCAGTAGGATCCTCCTTCACCACGACAACGCCTCGTCGCACACCGCCAAGCGAACGATCGACTATTTGGCGACATCAAACGTTGAATTACTGGGTCACCCGCCGTATAGCCCCGACCTCGCGCCTTGTGATTTTTATTTATTTCCAAAAATTAAAGAAAAACTTAAAGGAAAGCGGTTTATGAATGCTGAAGAAGCGGTGGCTGCGTATCGCGATGCCATTGGAGAGACCCCTAAGGACGAGTGGGCAAAGTGCTTTTCCCAGTGGTTCCATCGCATGCAGCGGTGTATTGACGTGAATGGACAATATTTTGAAAAGATATAATAAAACTAATAACTGGCTAATGTAATCAGTTTTTGATTTTCTAAGAACTTTCAGTTTGACCCTCGTAAGTGTAAGTTTTACGCTAACGCGTTCACTAGTGAGCGCGTTAAGAATGAGGAAGTGTCCTGGAAGAAAAACGAAAGCACTAAAAAAGCACCTCCACTAGATGGCGACTCTAGCAAAAGTTGATTTTTGCAGGAAACGAACGGACCAAAGACAGTCATTTCCGTTCCTTTTAACTAACATATTAGAAAACTGAAATTTGAATAGTTCGTGACTTACATATCAATACAAATACGAAAAAGTGCAAATAGGATATGAGTTGCTTATTGTGTTTTGAAAACTAATTTTCTTTTAAACTTGAAAGAAAACCGGACGGGTCGTCATGGAGAAATCAAGAACGTACCGTAGCGACATCTAGTTTGAGTTCGGGAACTATTTTTTTTTTAATACTTTTTCATTTGTATGGAGATTTGTAGTTCTTGGTAGCTACCACTAGGGGCGCTGTACCGGATTCCATACTAAAACATACAAGGCTAATGTGTGTATGAGTATACGGCATTGTAGAGACCAAATGGCTTGGCCAATTTTGATGATTTATACGTCAATCGATTTATCTTAATCTTGCGAGTGTCACTAACAATAATTCTTTTTTTAGGGTACCTCCCCTACATGTAAAGTGAGGATACTTTTTGACTTTTTCGATTTCTCTATAGTGTGGGATATAGCGGTCAAAAAGGAATGGGTCCGATTTCGGAACCCATTCTAATTATACAGATCTCCGTTGATTGGTCAAAATGGGTCCTTAATGTTGATCAGTCTTTACTACTTTTGAATTTATGATATGTATTATTTGTGTATAGATTTTAAAACTATTTCAATGGAGCAGTTCAGTAGTACTTAATAACATTCCAAACTTACTGGGCTTGTTTTTTTTCTCTACAGTTTTGAGTGATATATATATATATATTTTTTTTCACTTCTTTCTTTTGTTTTCACGCAGTCGGGGTTTTCCCTTTTTTCTTGCCTTTAACCACAATCAAGGTGAAAGCATACCAAAGATAATCATTAAGCAATGCATAAACGAAGAATTTATTTATAATAATAATAATTATCATTATTTCTCCAACAGTATATAGTACACAAGTCCAAAATACAACACAATACTGTCTATAGTACGGTTGCAACACTATCTGTCCCCTCGCCTTCTGTCTGTCTCGCTTGGCAGTCTTCAGTGTGCGGCCGACAAAAGACTTTCGTGCTTTTCCCCAAAACGGAATATTTTCGAGTGTTAAATTAATGTAGCTTCCCGTAGGTAACAGAAATTTAGGATCAGCTCAGTATTTCTGTACATACAAACAAAGAAATTTTGAATTTATACCTCTCTATAATATTCCACCAAAAACATTTCCATGTAAAGTCTCGCCAAGCCGAGACCATATGACTCGCACGGTCAAAAAGTTATAAGGTTTCGTAGAGCCAAGATTTACACGCCCTTACTTCACAAACAGACCATCTTATTCAAAACATGCAAAGAGTGGTATAACAGAAAAGTAATGAACGATGAATATATTTTTCACTTTTTCCATTTGATTGTAGCAGAACGGCCGAGACACATGTTTGGAATAAGGTGTAGTGTTTCTGAACTAAAGGCTTGCACAGTTTAGAATCTTTTGGCTCGGCTTTGATGGGTCACTACCGTGGCCCTAGATTATTATAAAGAGAAAATAATTGTTTATTTGTTTGCATTGCATAGTCTCCATAACTGGATTTCAAAAATCTTTCACCAATGGGAAGCTGCCTCATACGCGGGTGACATATGCGGGCTATAATTTAAGAGGAGTTGCGGAAAAAGCTAATAAAAAATAAAAGAACAAGATGCTTTGTAATATATACCTTGCCGCATCTAGTTAAAGTTTACATCTTTGTAGGTTTCAACCATAACACCTGCGACTAAATAGAATAAACATAACAATCACTACTAGATTTTACAAGCACTCACTAAATAAGTGAGGTCGCGAAAATTTTTTTTTAAGTAACTTAAAAATACACCAACCATGGGTGCCCCGATATGAGACTCAAATCCCTTTCGCAATCAGAGCGACTGCTCTAACCACTGAGCTACAATACCCAACAGGACTGACGAGTTTTTCAAGCACTTGCTACTTTTCGCTACTAGCGAGCGTATTTCGTAGAAAGGAATGTTTTTAAAAATATTTCGTAAGTTTAGAGTTAAAAAAGAAACTTTTTGACAGGTCTGGTGATCAGAAGGCTGGTTTGTACCTCGCCCAAAGAATTAGTTTGGGCTACTCAAAGAGGAAACGCTCGCAGCCTTCTGGGTACCTTACCTGTTGGTAATGATCTGGAAGATATTTTTTATTTAGTGTAGTTATTATTTTAAGACATAGTTTAGATAGGCTGCCTAGCGTAAATTTGTTAGAGTTTTGTGCGGTAAGGTTGGTTTACGTAAGAAAATACCGGATTATTCAAAACGCCTTTGTTATTTCAATATGATTACCCTGGAAAAACGTAGGTGGATCAGAGATCTGCGTACCCTTCATCGGATTGCCAACGGATCTTTTGATGGTGGTTTGTTGGAGTCATTGCAGTTCAAGGTGCCGACTCGGTCTGTGCGTAAACCTCAATTATTCTATGTATCCTCTACCACTAATAATGTATCGAAAAATAATCCTTTACTTAGAATGTGTGCTTATTACAATGATATTTGTTCGGATTGTGATATTTTCAACGGTAGCCGCCTTTCTTTTAAAAAAATATTAATGTCATTATTGTTACCCAATAAATAAACATGTTTAGTTAACATTATATTTTTGTTATGTGCATGATTTTTCTATTTTGTTATTTTTTATTTACCTCAACTGTTTATGGGCATTGTAATATCTGGTTAATTTTATAGTTTGTAAGCAGGTTACTTAGATACATAGTTTAATATGAAATTTTTGCATATTTACATTGTTGTCGACAGTACAAATGTTGAGCACAATTATAATTGGGCGCAGGCATGCCCTTAGATTTAAGTTTATTTTTATATGTAATGTTTTTTTTGTCTGATGTCTGTTATTGTGCCATTTGAAATAAATAAAATAAATAAATAAAATAAATAAGTAGTTTTAATTACTATGGTTAAATAATTGTTTAGATTTAGATGAAAATTCGTTCTAATTATCATATATCTCCGCGGTCCGCGGACATTGTAGCTAAGCAACTTTCACAAGAGTCGGTCACGGGATTGGTGACCAAACAATTATTATCTTGAGCTACTTCCGTGCTTCGGGAGGCACGTTAAGCCGTTCGTCCCGGCTGCATTTGCTGTCGTTAAATACCTTCCAATCCGCGTCGGGCTAGCGTGGAGAATCATGGCCTTCCTTAACCATCGTTAAGGAAGGCCTGAGCCCTGCAGAAGGGATGTAAAAGAGCCGATGATAATGGAAACTGATATACAATATGCGTAATGCGATAATGGATAAAGAAGTCCAGAGCAGACTTACCCCCACTGGCAGATAGATTAAAATGCGTTTGAGATTCCACACATAACTAATACATTTCTTACCTTTCATGTGATCAGATGTGTCTGTCCGCATGATGTCCGTGAGATAGTGTTCCAGAGACCGCATACTATCCAAACCACTCCGTTCCTGGAAAAGATATTTTATAATACAGTATATTTTAAAACAATGTATCTTAAGGGCCCTTTTATATATATATAAAGAGCGACAGAGTGAAAAATTCGGAAGATTCCGAATCTTTTGAATCGTTCCTGTCATAAGATTGCAAAAAGTTAATAACTCATTCAGGGGTCTTTGTGTGCGCTTCTACAATAAGGTCCCAAGTTAGTATAATATTGTAATCTTTGGTCCCAAGCAAAATACAACAATTAGATATCATGCAATTTAAATCTACTATAAAAAAAACTTATTATAAGGTATTTAATTATAAGTATAAATAGATTAGCTGTGCCCGCAACTTTGCCCGCGTGGAAAGTAGCCTTACTCCTTTTTACATAAGCTATCTGCAAGTGAAAGTCCCGTCAAAATCGGTCCAGCCGTTTCAGAGATTAGCCGGAACGAACAGTCAGACAGATAAAAAAAACAATGACATTTCGGTATACCTAAGTACCATTTAAACATAAATATGCATTTAGCAAAAAGCGGTTATTTTAATGTTATAAAAAAATACACTCCAATTTTACTTAAGGAAAAAAAACAAAAACTGGATAGGTGATTTTTTCTAAACTATTTTGTTATTATTATAAGGCCATAGTTTTTTTTTCTCTATTTATTTATAATGTCTTGATCTGGTAATGGCATGGTTTTTGTGAATGTCATTACTCCTATTAGAGCTGGTGAGTTTCTTGATCGTTCTTTTTATCAGCCAAAAGACGTCTTGAACGAGTGGTAGGGAAAAATGTTGGACGATTCAAAGGTACTTTTAAGAAGTCTATTTGGTTAAAGATTATTTTGACCTTTATAGTTTTATTCTTAACTAGCTGACCCGGCGAACTTCGTACCGCCTCATACCCGTTAAAAAAATCTTATATACAAACCGTGTCATGAATAGTGGAACACATAAAAAATAGAATCATCCTGATCTTGTACGCGTACATACGCTTCGGCTTTTCATTTTTATTCATCGATATTTAATAGATCGTCCGGAGATTTTAATTTTTCGATAACTCATTAGTTTTTTTTTTATATATAACAGCGGGTAGTCAGAAGGGCCTATTACGAAGCCCAAATAGATCGTCCATATCGGAGGACTATCTTTCAAATAACACTGCAGGCGTGTATACCAACGTGGATTTGTTCCATTTTATCACTTTACATACGAAAATATAACGAGATGAGCGTGATGTCGTCGGATGTCTTTACTCCTCGGCGATCGGAAACAGAATGTGTGCTAAAATGGCGGCAATTTGCTTTTGTTAACGAACGGTCAAAGTCAGTGTCACCATTGTAATAAAATTAAAAGTATCGATGATCACGCTCTCTCTACAATCGAGTAATTAAGTAATCGAGTAACTAGCAATTAAAATAAAAGAAACTAAATCAAATGATCTTCGTAAAGATGATGCGACATATATATTATATAATATAAAAGGCAATTTTGATCTACATTACGTGCATAACATATCTAACTTGTTTGTTTGATTAAGGATTAATACTGTATTGTTAAAAATAAGTTCGTAAATAACCCATCATTTTACTGTTTAAATTATACGTAATAAAATGGTTATAGTGGGTTATCCTTGGAATATAGACATATACCACCGCAGACTTTTTTGTATATCTATTAGAGAGGTACAATCCCACCATACAATGTTTTGTTATAACTGAAAAGTTTATGGCAGCGTTTTCGAGGAAAGATTCCGATCGGCTTTGTTTTTTCCGACATATTGAACTAATATCGTTGTAATATCGTCAGTTTGTACAAAACCTAAACTTGCTATACACTAAAACCTTCCTCAAGAATTGCTCTATCTAATATTGAAAACCGCATGAAAATCCGTTCAGTACTTTTCGAGTTTAACGCAAACAGACAGACAGAAGCGGCGGAGGACTTTGTTTTATAATATGTAGTGATAATACTTAAAAAAAACACAACCTGACACTCTGAGATGGGCTCGAACCCATGACTTTCGCAATCCGGGCGACTGCTCTAACCACTGAGCTGCCCAGGACCTAACAGGACTGACGAATCTTTCAAGCGCTTGTTACTTTCCGCTACTACAGAGCGTATTCTCGTCAATGTTCAGGCATCCACACAAACAGCCGAAAGAAATATTATTACAATATTTTACACTTTCGATAAATATGAAAATATATTCTTATTATTAACATTTGATCAATTTCTCGGTGGCGTAGTATATAAGCGCCGCGGCCAGCGATCGTTGTTGTTAAGCAACTTCCGCAAGGGTCGGTCACGGGATGGGTGACCAAAAAATTATTTTCTCGAGCTACTTTGCGCTTCGGGAGGCACGTTAAGCCGATGGTCCCGGCTGCATTTGCAGTCGTTTATACCCTACAATCCGCATTGGGCCAGCGTGGAGGGTCATGGCCTCCTCAACCATCCATAAAGAAGGCCCGAGCCCCTGCAGTGGGGATGTAAAAGGGCTGACGATAATGATGATGATGATTAATTTTGTATTCACAATGCTATACTGACAAATATACTTAATGAGATATGCTTAATAAAACCACTATGTCCCAGGCACTCTGAACGGGACCCATGACCATGGTTTTATAATTTTGCTAAAGTCGTATCTGTGAAGATTATCTGAGCACCAGAGGCAGTGCCATCTGGTGATAACCGCTTAACTCCCGTAGCCTTAACTCTAGCAGCGATACAACAGCGATATTATAGCGTTATTTTGTCTTATTTTACTACATTGACGTGTACTTTAAACGAATTATAAAGGATGATGAATCTAGATTTAACTGCAATGCTTTTAAAAAATATATATATTTATTAGGACAGCCATCAATAAGTACACTATTACAAACTCTTAAATTAAATTTACAATTTATGGTTAAAAGCGCACGACATGCACTAAAACTTATATTAAATATGAACAGTACAACATTAATATTTTTAGTTTTTTATATATATATATCAACGATAAGCGGGCGCCAAGAGGTACCCTTGCTCATGTGTACTTATGGAAAAATAAGAAAAAAATTATATCTTATCTTTTTCATTATAAAATTAAATTCGAAAATCTTCGAATATTTACACCTTTTATGATATTTTCAACTACCACGACCACAACTTCTCAATTATGTTCAATCTTTTTTTGTATCGGATACCTAAGTAGCACTACTATTCGCTACAACTCTTTCGAAAATTTTTGAATTTTATTTTATAATAAAGAAGATTAATAAGATATAATTTTTTTCTTATTTTTCCATAAGTACACATGAGCAGGTCTACCTCTTGCCGCCCGCTTATCGTTGAATTTTGGGACACGTTGTATATCCATATAAAAACTACAATCGAGGTTTAAAAAAGAAAATCTGGGAACGTTAACACCGGTACAATGAATGCTAAGAGGGAAGTGTTGTCTTGGCAACCTTCATATAACAGTTAATTGCTCATTAATATAAATTTTAAATTTAACAAGAGAAGTACAAAAAATATTTCAGGCCCAGAAATGCATGAAGTTTCATTAACCTGGTTAAGGGAGTATGAGAACCTAGTCTGCTTCTGTTACTTGGTAATCTAAAAAGTGTGTTAAACTTTTAACTTAGTCATTCATTCATTAATTCATTCGTTCGTTCATAATATTCGCTAAGATGTACCCTATGGCTAGAGATTAATAGCCAGTTGCACAAACATACATTAAAATTTTCATTAGTCTAAAGCGACACTACCCATACAAAATTGACAATAATTAGAGCTTAAGGGCGTCATTAAACCTTAATGGACGTTTGTGCAACTGACCGTAAGGCGGTAGTAAAGCTTAAAATTATACAAACTTTATCACTATACTATAATACCTATTATAAAGGGATGGATATTTAAATATTTTTTTACCTACGGAAGGCTCATATGTGGTGGCACATAGGCTATATTATTTCTCGAACAACGTCTAATCTATACTAATATTATAAGCTTAAGAGTTTGTTTGTTTGTTTGTTTGTTTGAACGCGCTAATCTCAGGAACAACTGGTTCGAATTGAAAAAATCTTTTTGTGTTGAATAGACCATTTATCGTCAGTTTGTACAAAACCTAAACTTACTATACACTAAAACCTTCCTCAAGAATTGCTCTATCTAATATTGAAAACCGCATGAAAATCCGTTCAGTACTTTTCGAGTTTAACGCAAACAGACAGACAGAAGCGGCGGAGGACTTTGTTTTATAATATGTAGTGGTGAAAAATACTTAAAAAATCCACTTTGTCCCTGACTCTCTGAGATGTTGAATAGACCATTTATCGAGGAAGGCTTTAGGCTATATAACATCACGCTGCAACTATTAGGAGCGAAGAAATAATGGAAAACGCGGACGAAGTCGCTGACGGCCACTAGTTAAGGGATAATCAGTAACCATTGTTTATTTTAATAATAATAATAATAATATTTTATTTACTCCTCATACTAGGATAATCCTGTTCTACAGAACATATGTCTAGTAATATAACAAAAGTACAGGAGTGATGTTCTTAATATTGTTTATAAAGGAGAAGAAATTATAATAAAAGTAAATATGAAATAGATAATATTACAGGCTTATGTGTGTGTATGTGGGTGTGTGACGGTGAGTATATGTGTGTGTGTGTGGGGTATGTGGATGTAAATGTATGAAATGATAAAACTTATTTATAGGATTAAGTTCGGCTAATAAGAAAATTTTCTGTTTCATTACTCAATAGCCATAGTATAACAGCTTTTTTACATTGATACCTATTTAAAGGGTATATGGATAAGAGTCTATTGCATTTATTATAAAGTATAGGTATAAGATATTCCACAAATTTTTGTCCAAATTTGGTATTGAATTTCGGCGTCTTAAACACAATATCATGCCTTCTTTAGAGGTTAATAATGTGCTATCATAAGTTGAGAATGAATGCTGTTTTAATATAACATTACAAGTAAACAACTGGCGTATTGTGAGCAATCTACATATCGCAAA